ATCCCTCCGTTGCCACAGCTCCTCCAGCTCGTGAAAGGTGATGGTGGGAACTTTCAGTGACCACAATCCTTGTTCCGGGACACTCCCGAAGCGTTGCAACAGCTGAGGAGGATGCTGGCTGGGTCCCCAGGGAGCACTGCCATTGCTGTGGACACAGCAGTGACTTGCCCTGGGGCAGAGCAGGAGGCAGTGGGTGGCCTTGAGTGGTGCTTGGCTCCCAGGTTTCTGCACTGAGCATGAGGACAACTTGTAGCACCGTGTTCCAGCACAGCACTGGCTGCAGTAAGAGCCACAGCCAGGACCCCATCTCCAAGTGCATGGGGAGCTGGCTCACTGCAAGCTGCCTCCTGGCAGTTTTGTGTTTTTGGGAAATGGCTGCAGTTCTGCTAAATGGGCTGGGCAAGGCAGGGCTGGGCAGGGCCCGGCTGGCACCAAATGCTATCAGATGAGGCTGATGAGATGGGCACATACAGGGACGTGGAAACGTGAGAGGACTGCACTGTCCCAGCTCTGGGTTGAGCAAGCCCCTGGTACCCAGCTCTCAGTGGCACTTACAGCTCCTGCCTGGCACAGAACCGCAGGCTTCCAGAAGCTGCCTGGGCATGGGATGAGCTGACAGTGTTGCTCCATGCAGCAGAGCCCTTTGGCAATGTGCAGGGGCTGGGAGCCCCTTCCCCAAACACCAGCTCCTTGTTCCCCTGCTGCAACCTCACGGCCCCAGCTCTACCTGCAGGATCCTGTCCTTCATTCTCATTCAGCATCTCGGCTTCTCCCAGCAGCTCAAGGCTGTCTCTGCTGTCCCTCTGCAGCAGCTGGAACAGGGTATGAGTGACTGTATTGGGGGGGAGGGGGAGCAAGGGGATCCTTGAGATCCTGAGGACCCTGCAGGGGTACCCACCCGTTGCCGCAGCTCTTGCTGCTCCCGCAGCAGCTCCAAGAACCGACTGCTCCACAGCAGTTTCTCAGCCCCCAGCTCGGTGCAGAGGAAGCGGACATCATCCTCCAGTGCCTCCAACCTCCCCACTGTGGCCTCGTTGGCATCACGCAGCCGCTGCAGCTCCAGCACTGCCCAGGCACCACAGCTCTGCTTCACCTGAGCTGGCACCAGGGTCTCACCTGCCCCTCAGCACCCACCTGTCTGCTCAGGCTCCAGCACAGCAGCAGCCGATCCGTCCTCCTCTTCCTCTCCCCCCTCACTGTCATGGTCCACCCCCAGCAGCTGGAAGGCACCGTGGACTGAACCCCATTGTGTGGTGCCCATATGGACCCTTCTGCCACCCAGCACCGCGTCACCATGAGTCCCCGCTGCTGGAGAGCCCCTGAGGGCACTGGGGGGTGCTTGGTGGGGGGAGGCTTTACCTCTTCAGCAAACTGGAAGGTGATGTCCCAGCAGCTTGTGTAGCACATCAGAAGGTACTGAGGGAGAGCACAGTGCAGTGGGACCCACTGAGGATGACAGGGTCTGAAGGGGGAGCAAAGACCCCACATCCCCAGGGCTCTTCACAACCTCCTGCCCAATGAACCCGGTTGCAATACTACAACAATGCGAAGCCCACACATGCATGCAGTCCCATAGTGAGGGAGCCCCATAGCACCAACCCACAACAGCCTCCAGAGCCACTGCAGCCCCTGCAGAGCTGTCCTGGAAAGGGACAGGAGCTGCCAGCACCCAGAACGCAGGAGCTGCCTCCACCACGGCCTCCCTGGGCTGTGCTGCTTCCTCATGGGGATCCTGCAGACAGGGATTGGAATGGAGACGTGCTGCAGATCCCAGGACAGGCAGTGGCTGCAGGATGCTCCCAGCCCTGCCAACAGGAGGGCGAGCAGCCCTCCTCCCCCATTGCTGTGCCCACTTACCTGGCAGTGCAGCCCAGCTCAACTCGGGCAGGAGGTGCAGGGAGAGCTGCTGGACAAGGCTGTGGAGGCTGCTGCTCCTCCTGCCTGCTGCTATGCCTTCAGCCCGTTGCTCAGGATTGCTAAATGCCTGCCTAATCCTCTTGCTGAGGAGGCTGTGCCAGGGATTAGGGGTACTTCTGCTCTACCTTCAGTCACCATAAGGACAGTGGCTGCTGGGCCACCACCGCTCTTTGCTCAGGATTCATCTTCTGCAAGCAATAAAAGGACTTTATTGTAACTGTATTTGGCTTTCATTGGCATTGAGGTAAAGCCTGGGCAGCCAGGTTCAAGGTCAGCTGTCCTGGCTTGGGGAGCTTTACACCCTCCAGCTGTGCAGGAAGAGAAATAAAGGTCTCAAGAAATAGAGGGGAAGGTTCAGGCGATGCCAGCCTGGCCCAGGCTCTGCCACACACCCCCTGGTGCAGGTGGCAGTGCTGCTGTGCTCAAACTGAGCAGACTCAAACTCCCATTACAACAGCACCTCGAGGGAGCTGATGCTGCAGCGCTGTCACTGCCGACAGCTTTTGCTCTGGGACGCGCAGTTCTGCTCCCTCTGCTGGAGCAGACCCCAGTGGACACCGTGGTTTCTCAGCCTGAAAGCTGCAGCAGGACGGGACGGGGCTCCTTGAACACCGTGATGGGCAGCCATCTCCTCAATCAGAACCGACTGAGTCTGTTTGTCCCTTTCCCTCAGGGACAAGCACTGCTGGGGAAGGTTGCAGCACCCCCAGTCCATATTGCAGGGACGCAGAGCCAACGGACGCTTTGCCATAAAATCTCTGGCACGTGAGGCTCCCTGTGTGACATGAAACCCTTTTGCTGTTTCTCTGCAGGGGAGACTTTCCAGCCCAAAAGGTCCAACGCTGTCCCTGAGGTCAGAGGTGCAGCACGGACCCCTCGAAGTCAGGCCTTTACAAACCTTGCTTTGGAACAGCAGCACCAGGGAAAAAGAGCACCAGAGAAAAGCAGCTTCTGTACCAAGGTCAAGTAGTCAGAAACCATCAGCTAAGATGTCTTTTTTTCCACAGCTATAGCAAAGCAGGCCCTGTTAGGACTTTATGCTATTTCCTACATCTTCTATTCCTCTCTCTTTTACCTCTTAAGAGGAATAAATTTAAACACAAAAAAGTAGGGCAGCTTTACTGCTCTCCCATTAAAGCCACTCTGTCCCAGCAGCTCCCTGTGGCCGAGCAGCAGCACCAGCACACACTGCTGTGGGCTAAGGCAGGAACCACCAGGAGCAAACACAGAGCTGCCTCCATTCCCTAACGAGAAAACAAGGGGGAACTGTTCTCCTGTGTTCACCTTCACCTGTAGGTCCTGCATGGCAGGGTTGCACAGGGGAGATGGTCGCTGCTGCTGCCACAAGGAGCTGCAATGCAGGACCCCAGGAAAGGAGAAGTGCAGCAGAGCAGAATTCAGGCTCCGCTGTAACAAGTGCACATAGAAGTACATGGAAGGCTGTAAGGCAAGTGCTACAACTTTTTACACAGCACTCTCTCTCCCTCCGAACTGTTTAAGCAAGCAAAAGCATCCCAGCACAGGAAACTGGCAATACCCCACCTTGGGAAAGGCACAGCTGCTTTCCACACTGCTATCTTGACTCGGCCACTGTGAAAAGCACCAAACATTCACCCCTCTGCGTGCTTTCCCAGCTGCAATCCAAATTGCTCATCCCTTATCTGCAGGCACGCCGCCAGCAGCACTGAGGACTGCCTGCCATCCAAGCCCTACCTTGATGCAGGATTAGTTGAACATGGCTGGAGATTAATGCCTGGCAATCCTTTCAAGCACTCCATGTTATGTCTACCGCAGGAGAGCGAGCACAAATGATTCCTCCAAAGGGTCATGGGACGAAAGCAGCTGCTATGTGAAAGTGGAGGAGCTGCAGCAAACTCCCCACAAAGCTGATGGAGAATAAAAAGCACCGGGAGACAAAATTTTGACTGAACAGAACACGGGAAGAGAGACGAATGTGACTTTTATTGTTTATGTACAAATGAGGGAAGTTTGTATTAAAAAGAGAATCTACCCAATGTCAAAAGATAGCAGAGAGCAAGGTGGCTCTGAGCTCCAGCCTCCTCTGCGTCTAAAAGCACTGTGCCAACTTCAGGGGATGGCATTCAAAAGAAAAGTCAGAGAAACTGGATGGCCGCTTTGTTCTCTGCTTACCTACAAACCAAACTGAGCTGTTCCACAGAACGAAGAGCCTTCCTCTCTACAGGCATTAAAACAAACCAGAAGCCCATTTATTAACGATGCACTTTGGTTTAAAAAAAAACAAAACAAAACAACAAAGAAACAAACAAAACCACAAAGCTACGTCTCAGTAACAAAAGGAACCTAAGTCTTACAGCGTGGATGGGACACAGTGAATCACAGCCCTATTCCAGCAGGAAAGGAAATGCCTCCCCACGGTTTTACAGAGGCAGCAGTAAGATCAGCCAATTGAAGGAAGCTCCTGACTGAGCTGGAAGCACAGAATAGCCAGGAATTGAGGACTACTACTACTACACCTTCATCTCCTGTCAGTCAGGGTGTCTAAAAATGATGCAAAGACATGTCCAAGGCTTTCTCCCCCTTGAGTTGGTTAGAGTGGATGGCTCCCTTCTGCACACACGTGGCCAGAGAGCTGCCACTGTGCTCGTTCAGATGACTGGAGTTATTCTTGGTGGGGATTCATGTAGGACCGGATCCCAGAATCTTCAGCACTGATGTGTCTAGTAGTCCTGCAGAGACAGAAGATGGACACGTTAAGACCTTTCTACTTCCACCTCTGCTGGCAGAGCTGGGATTCCTTGCCTTCTCTCATTCTACACGCCATGAGCTGAAGGCAAAAGAGAAAAGAGATTTGTTTTCAGCCCAAACCAGGTGCTTTTATTGGTGCACTTCATGACAGAACAGAAAGATGCACGTGCACACGCCTGAAGTGCAACCTTGCTCCGTAATGAGCCCACCTGGGCTTATTCACTATCAAATCTGGAAGACAACGCTTACACTTCATCCCTACACATTCCCCAAGCACAACAAACAACATCTCCTATCACGGCAGAGGAGGCTTTCCAGGATGAGCAACAAAAACAATGACAGAGCACTGATACTTACAGCTCTCGGCTTTTTGTTTAACTTGAGATCAATCCTGTGGTTGGAAAGATAAGAGAAACGTCCATTTCAATACACGACACAAACAGTAGGTTGCAAAGAACCAGCTACTGAATATGGCACAGGCTACGACAAAGGCTATTCGGTTAATTCAATCCACATTCTCGATTGGGCTGAGCCAAATCACTGTCCCAACATTACAAGAGAACAGCAAAGAGAAGGAGAGTGGATTCTTTGTTCTTTGCCACAATGCATATTGCGTTCCATTCAGGAAAAGAGTTAATAAAAATCACAGGGAAGTTGTGCAGCACAAGGAAATACTGTTACACACGCATGCTCTACGTTCATTGTTAGATGTGTAACTATGCCACAGGTAATTATCCAGACATAGTGGCAAGGGTTATTTACTAGGGACAGAGAGAGGAGTTTAAGATGGCAGGGATTACAGGAGACAGAGGTACGGAGTTGGTTATGGATGTCCAGAAGGAAACAACCAAATCTACACTGATCTCCTTCAGAAGCAAAGCCAGAAGAATCAGTTTTTAAACGACACGTTTAAGTTAAAGAGTTGATCTACTTAAAAAACGGAACAGAGAGGTCAAGGAGAGTGAAGTTAATTTAATTTTGCTGAAGTTATTAAATAAAATGTTACCTCCATCACGCTTTTCTGTTTTTTAAAAAAACTTCCCAGCCTAACCTAATATACATACCTACAATTAAACAGATAAACTATGGGTTAGAAAGGTCTCAAAAGGCACATTGGTGTCTACACACTAACAACACAGCACAAGTACTAATTCAAGTCAAACTTACTCAAAGTCATAATCAAACATGCCAGACGGGCTGAGGGGCAGCATTTGAAAGGAAGAAAGCAATAGAAATTAATACACTAACGAATTAAATAAATTAGTCGATTAGCCACCCTAGCGAGAATACTACAAATAAATAAGTAAATAAACAAATGAAAGCCAGTGTTCAAAATGCCACAAAGTTCCAAAAGGTAACTTGAAGGTTCTTGAACCAGAACGGGGCACAACAACAACAACATAAGAAGCACTGCAGATCTGACAGAGCCCCAGCCCCAGGTGGATGGTGGGGATGGAGGTGTTAGGAGCGGTGTTACGCAGGGAGTGCTGCGTGCTGAGGGCTGCAGAGCTCACAGATCAAAGCATGGATTTGCTCACAGAACCCAACGGGTGGTCAGGAAGCAGTGGCTTTGGCTGGATTACTGAGCAAAGCAAAGCTTGTTCAGGCAGAGGTGGAGACAACCATGAAGCTGCGTGGCCACGCAGGCGCTCGATGCTCCCTCAATGCACGCCCCACTCCCCTTGCACCCAAACATCCCTTTGGGAGCTCTCAAGTCCAACCATGGCTTGCTGCATTCCCACCCCACCTGTCAGCACCCAGCACTGATGGCACTGCGCTCTGCCCCAAAGCTCACTGCTCTGCTTGGCGCTTCTCAGCACTGGGTCTCTAAAAGGAAGGAGGGCTGTTTTCCCCTGAAACACTTTTTAGCCATGAGAATCATCATCTGGGCCTTCTGTGGTCTGAGGGAACAGAGGGTGGCTTCAATAAAACACTGCCACGTGATCTCCTGCTTTAATTGTCAGGAATTAAACCAGCTATTCACACAAGCTCTGCTCAATCTGAATCCAACTCTCCTCGCTGCCACTGGTGGCACAAGAGTGAGAAAAACTGGAGCTACGTGGAGTCAGTGCACCTTCAGAGCATCCATTCCCAGCACCTCCCAGTCCTTCAGGAACAGGTGAGCAGAACTCAAACGCATGCTGGAAATGAAAGAGCTTCTGAATGAGCTGTGCCATTAAAAAGATTGAGACTGGCTTTTGTTTGGTTCAAACCTTGAAGATCATTTGGGCTCTTCTGCTGAAATTTAGGGGACAGTCGTTAGCAGCAATCACAACTTCTAACAGTTTGCATTGCAGACCAACGTAATTACTTTCCACTACCTGGCCTTGTTAAGCATTACACAATATCTGCAAAATCCTTTCTGTACTTGGATGCATCTCTTAGGATGATAAGAATTGCCATACCAGTGCAGACCAGGGCTCCTCATGTCCAATATTCTGTCTCCAACAGTAGCCCGTATCAGCTGCTTCACAGGAAGGCATGCAGAAGAAAGCCCAAAGCCACACAAGCTTGCAGTAGGGCAGTTTCTTCCTAACTCTCATCACTACAGTTTGGGTTATGTAATGGAGCAAAAGAGTTTATATTATTTATGGCATTTGCACCGGCCCCCACTGTCCTGCAGCAGATTGCTTCGTGCTCCATCTAAGTGCTCAGCAGTGCTCTGTAATCTGCTCTCATGCTGTACCTCAGTTGTACAGACTGCTTCTCTGAAGTGGTTTAGAGATGTACTCTGCTACTTCTGGCCTTCCTCCCAACTGTCTGCAGGCTAAAAAACACTTCTGAACTGCTTCTGGTTCCTAGCTCAGGAGGAACCAAAAAGGACATCCAACACTTTGGGATGTGTGCCTGATGAAGGCTGCTGCGGGAAGAAAATCCTGACCTAGCAATTAAAAATGCTAATGACAGAAAACCTAACTAAGAAGAAGCAGTAGTTAATTAGTTTGCAGGCACTGTACCTACCTCGGTGTCTCTCAGACCTTTTCCCAGCAGTCTCTGTGACATCTATCGCTGCTATTTAAAACATTTGCAATTGAATGGGAAGGCTCCTCAAAGAGGAACCTCCACCCGGATCCAAAGCCAACCAGCTCAGTAATGATACCTAATGTGCAGGTTACACTGAGCCAGGGAAAGCAGCTCTGGAATTCAATGATTCCCAATTTCTGGGCCTTCAGCCCACTGTGCCTTGAAGGCACGCCTTAAGGGGTAGAAGTGGTCGCCTAAATTCAATCATAAAGAGTTCAGGAGAGCTGTTTCACGTGAATTTCAGGGCAGTTTAATAACAAAAACTAGTGGTCTGTGTGATAAAGCAACTTGTACACGCTGTAATCAAACGACTCTGGGACATGACAACAGAAAAGGTTTGGAGTAGAAAATGTAGTAAAGACACTGAGAGTCAGCAGCCCCCAAAACACTCTAAGTTGTTTTCCCATCCTCCTTCTCCAGAGAAAGCAGTGACATTCCTATCTTCCTTGGCTCTGTAGAAACCAAGGAACAATCACAGGAGACCAGGACTGTAATCTTCCTCTACTGCAGGGAAGACAGCTTTATTCTGCTTGAAAGAGAAAAGAACCGACAAGGCCTGGTCAAAAACACCACCGTCTCTGAGCTGTGAGTACCCTGTGCTGACTGTTGAGCTGCCTCTCATGCCTTCCCCTCCCTGACACAGCAGGAGCACAGGCTGCACACAGCTTCCAAGCAAGTGATGTCACCAAACGACCTGAACACTTTGTTATGCTCTCAACTTATCAGCTCCCTTCACATAATTAAGCCCGTTCAACAAGAGCTAACCATTCCCAGTGCGCTACTAGAAGGCTGCTGGTGCCACTGACCTGTGCCGATTTTTGTTCTTCCGTTTTTTGTGGCTGCTGTGGTGGCTCCCAGAAGTGGAGGAAGCGGCTTTTTGGGGTTTCACCCCCTGCACAGATCCATCCAGCTCCTCAGCATCCTCCTGGCTGGGTTCATTCTCCTGATTGTGGAAGTCTGGAGAGGTGTCGCTTTCCGTCCCGCTGCCCGGTTCACCTGCAATGGGATGAGAAGCAGAGCAGCCCAGTGGTTACGTCCCCACACTTCACATCTCAGGCTGCTCCTGCAAAGAGTCGGGGAGAAGAACTACAAACACTACAGAAACTGAAGTTTCTGGTGCCAAGAACTGGAAACGCAGCACCTGATCAGCACACGGTGAACCCAGAGTTATACAATCATAGAATCACCAAGGCTGGAAAAGAACCACAGCACCACCCAGCCCAGCCATCTACCATCTACAGTTCTCACTAAACCACGTTGCTCAACACAACATCCAAATGTTCCTTGAACACCTCCAGGGTTGGTGACTCCATCACCTCCCTGGGCAGCCCATTGCAGTGCCTGATCACTCTTTCAGAAGTTATGGCGACAGCAGAAGGAAAGGTCTGCAGCCTCCAGAATTGGAGCTCTCATCGTCTCCCACAGCCACGTGCAACTGATGGAGAGACACAGGCACTGAAATGCATCGCTTCAGTCCTTGTTTCTCCATTCAGAGCAGACAGCAGAGCCCAGTGAAGCGAAGATGGGGCCGAGCTGTGAGGAGAAGTTTAATTCTTCCCAATTCTGCCAACGGAGGAAGAAAGGAAAAGGTGACTTACGCTTCTCAATGAGCTGATCCTGAACTCCAGCTAACGCACTGACAGCCTGGAAAGACGACATGGGCAGTTAATGACAGCAGGGATGTTGCTTAACAGATGTCTGTGGGAACTCAGCCCCGTGGGGGTGTCACGGAATCACAGAATGGTCGAAAAGGAGCAATGTGAGCAGGGGGTTGGAAGTTGATGAGATGTGCAGGGTTATGGGGGGGGGAGGGGGGGGTGTCCCTGCAGCACTCACCGCTGCAGAAGTGACCGAGGATTTGCTGAAGAGCCGCTCAGCCTCCTTAAACTTGCGGTTCCTGCGGTCGTTTTTGCTGTTGGAGTTCCTGCAAAGGAGAGAGGAGGATGGAGGAGGACTGGGGGGGGGGGGGGCGGCCCGCCCCGGGGGGGGGGGTTGGAAGGCGGTTGGGGAAGGGAGGGGAGGTTGGTCCGTACTTCTGGTTGGTGAGGTAACGGTCCCATCCGCGGATGATGTTGCCGTACATCTGCGTGTCCTCCAGGTAGCTGCCTTCGAACGCGTAGATCTGCCGCTCCAGGTTGGCCAGCGTCTCCTGCCGGGCAAAGCGCTGAGCGGGCCGGGCCCCGCCGCACGGCGACGGCCGCGACCGCCGTTCATCGCCGTTCACCGCCCGTCCGCCCCGCCGCCTCCCCGCCCCGCTCCGCGCCCAGCTCACCGCCAGCTCCTGTTTGCGCTTCACCAGCTCGGCCAGCTCCCGCCGGGTATCGGGGATCTGCGGAGGTCCGCCGGCCTTGGCGTGCAGCGCGGCCATGGCGGCTGCGGCCCTGCGCTGAGCGGGCGGGGCTGAGGGGAGGAGCCGGCGGGGGGCAGCGCTGAGCTCCGCGCCGCCCCGATGGGGAAACGGGAACTGCGAGCGGAGCTGAGGGCCGGCGGGGTTCACGGGATGGCCGGGGTTGGAAGGGAGCTCAGGGATCACGAAGCTCCAACCCCCCGCCACACGCAGGGCCACCAACCTCCACATTTCACAGCAGCCCAGGGCCCCATCCAACCTGGCCTTGAACACCTCCAGGGATGGACGGGGCATCACAGCCTCTCTGGGCAGCTGTTCCAGCGCCTCACCACTCTCATAGCAAAGAACTTCCCCCTCACATCCAACCTCAATCTGCCCTCCCTTAATTCAAACCATTTCCCCTCATCCTGCTGTTATCTCCCCTTTCCAAGAGTTGATTCCCCTCCTGTTTGTAGGCTCCCTTTAGGTACTGAAGGCTGCCATGAGGTCACCCCGCAGCCTTCTTTTCTCCAGGCTGAACAAGCCCAGCTCCCTCAGCCTGTCTTCTGCAGCCCCCTGATCATCTTTGTGGCTCCTCCGGACCCTCTCCAACAGCTCCCTGTCTGTCTTACACTGGGGGCTCCAGATCTGGACGCAGTGCTGCAGATGGGGCCTCACAAGAGCAGAGTAGAGAGGGACAATCACCTCCGTGTCCCTGCTGGCCACACCGCTTCTGATGGAGCCCAGGATCCCATTTCTGAGCTGCAGTAGCGCACTGCTGGCTCATGTTCAGCTTTTCACCCATCAGGACCCCCAGGTCCTTCTCTGCAGGGCTGCTCACAAGAACTGCTTCTTCCAGTCTCTATGGATGCCTGGGATTCCTCCGGCCCAAGTGCAAAACCTTGCACTTTGCTGTGTGGAACCTCATCAGGTTCACCCAGGCCCAACCTACTGACGTCCCTCTGAATGGCACCCCTTCCTTCCACCGTGTCAACCGCACCACTCAGCTTGGTGTCATCAGCAAACTTGCTGAGGTGCACTGGATTTGGGGCTGTGCTTGAAGCAGCGCTCGGATGGAGGCTGCAGCACGAACCAGCAGGCACAGCAAACAAGGCCAACTCCAAACCCAAGGCTGAACCCCTCTGCCCACTCAGCAGCCCAAAGGCAGGGCTCTCAGGGCTCCCCGCTGCTCCGCGGAACCCACCCAGCTTCAGAACCTGAATAAGGAAAAAACTCGCACTGAAATGAAGGCCATCAATGATGAGACCTGAGATCAGATGCTGCGCCGCTCCCAGGCAGAGGCTTATGTTGGTTCTGTCACCACTCGGCGCAGCGCAGTCCCACCGTCAGCAGTCTGTGCTCCCCTGCCAGGCAAACCATCAGCAGTGGTACAGCAAAACAAGAGCAGTGCTGCTGCACCACACGGTAACTCCAGCCTTCCCCCATAGCTGAGGATTGCCGGGGTCACTTTGGTGTTTCCTTCACAGGGACACACGCAGCCCAAGCTGGACGAGATGCACTCACAGCCCTGCAGAGCAGCGAGGCAGCTGCAGCCCTACCAGCACCCCAGGGGTCACTGAATCCATCCAGTCCTGCTGCTAAAGGATCATCAATAGTCCAGTAACAAACATCTGCATGAGTTACAACGATCTGCGAGTTCTACAGCTGTTAAACCTGTAACAGCTGCAACACATTCCCTCAGGGTCAGCATCTCTCCCACCTTTCCCTTTCAAATGAGTGCATCTATTGCAGAGAACACAAAGGGGGAAAACGGGACATTAGAAAAACATCACAGCTAAAGGTAAATAGGGCTAAATTTACAAATTCTTTATTTAAAAACCTCTAGAGTGTGTATATATAAAGGAGAGCCTTCTAGTCAAGATCCGTCCTGCTTACTATTTGAAAACCTACATCAGCAGCCCATATTTACACCATAAATCCAGTGTGCATACAGCACAGCACGTTTGTATACACAGTGTATGTACACAGCATGTCAGAACAGTGTGTGTGGCCACAGAACAAACACCCAGGCTGAGCAGTCAACAGTGTAGAAAGTCTTGTTTCTTTTATCAACCATAGGAAGAAAACATCCACAAATAGGCAAGATGCATTTTCTTTCAGTGAGTGGAACTGGCTTTTTTTACCTCTTCCTAAAGTGTTGTTTTCTTTTCCAGTAGGGCAGAATGTTATAAACCAATGATAGTTCCATTTTACTTTTTTTTTTTTTTTAATATATATAAAGAAAACTTAAATAGTGCAAACCAGTAAAAACATGCCACCACATAACAAGTACAATTACAAACAAAAACATTAAGTTACTCATGGAGCTGACAGAAACAAAGGCCCGAGCTTTAGGAGAGGAAACTCAACATCCATCACAGTTGCAGCATTCTTTGCTGCATTGCATACTGGACGTGCACTGATGTAGACCTCAGCCCTCCCAAACCATATTATTGCAGCCTAAAGCCCCAGGAAGCAGTTCCTTTTATTTGGACTTACCTTGGAACAGCACATCCTGGTGAAATGCCCATTGCTCCGAGTGCTCACAGTGCAAACCAACAACCCAGGACACACAAACACCTGGGGGGCTTTGCAATATTTCTTTTTAGGTAAATTCTCCTGTCCAGAACTCCTAAATGGCCAAGGAAATTTGGCAAACTCTACCAAACAAGACATGTTACAAAAAAATGCATCGGGTTACACTTTAACTAAGATCTCAGTTCAGTAGCATTCTCAAGGGGTTATGACAAAACAGTTAATAAAAATATTTTTAAATACGCTTGCTGCGTTCTACATCATTTTTTTCCAGAAGAAGAAAGTCTTTGAACATTTGCTGAACGTTTCCAGCATCAGAACATTCACATCCAGGTGCTTTTTTGCTTGTTAGGATAGGAAGAATGACCTGGATTTCCTGACACGCAGACCTACCAGAGACAAATACTCAGTGGAGTCCCCCAAAATAAACCATGAGAACCATTCAGCAACAGAAGAAGGACTTTAAGGCAGTGAGAAGCACCAGCGCTTTGATGCTCCAACGTTTACATCCCAATGCATGTTTTATTGAAAAAGGATTTCCCTCCCCTGCTCCCCCGTCCCCAATTTCCTTCTCTTCTGTTAACTGTCAGACTCTTCCTCCTTCTCCTCCTCTTCGTCATCGTCCTTTGCGTTGGCCTCAGATTTATCTGAAGATTCGTGGAGGAGAACATACTCCCTGCTGCTGAATCCAAATTTCAGTACGTCCTTCTCCTTCAGTTCGTAGTAACGCTGCGGCTCAATCCTCTGGTTGTTTAGAAAAGTACCATTGCCAGAGCCAAGATCGATGATATACGGCTTCACTCTGCGGCCAACTGTGCCGTCGGCACGAGTGTGCTCCACAAGCCTGGCAAAACAAGAAAACCCACATCATTCTGATCACAACAAAGGGATTTTCCAACCCATCAGCCTCACTGCAGTGCATACTTAACCGTACTTCAAAGATCTGAGCAAGAACAAGGAGAGTAACGAGAGATGGGACAGGGAAAAGCTCCGATTCTGACAGAACTGCTTCACCCCTAAAACTTCATACGTTACAACACAGTAATTCATGAAACAGAACAGATGGCTGCTCCTTAAGAGAGCAACTCTGCCTCCAGAAGCACGCAACCCCTGCTGTTTCCAAAGGAGATCAGCAGTCTTTGTTGTGAAAGACCAAATGAAAAGCTCTCCTTGAAAGGTTTTCTACTGCCAATTCCACCTGCTAATTACTCCACATACAGATGCAGTTCTGTATTTAATCCTGCTGTGTCTTACTAAAGACTATTTTTCTCACTAAAAGGCTGCTTATGGTTAAACGAAAGGAATTATAGATATTTCTGATTATTGCTAATATGCTCCAGTCATACCTCAATTCCATTTACCTAAAAACCTCTGAGCAAAATGCACTTTCTAATCTGTGCACATCCACTTTGTTTGATTTTTTTTTGCACACGAGTGACCAAATAACCCCGATCTACCAGATGGATACAGAGCAATACTGACCGGTACTGGAACACAGCGTGCTGCTTGGAGCAGGAGGGATGGTCGATGGGGATATCTGCTATCCTGCGGTGCCTGCCCAGCAGATAAGCACTCTGCCTGTGAATGTACATGACTGGCAGGAACTCATCATTTTTGAAAGGATAGAGGCGCCATCGTTTCTTTGGAATCCGAGCTTCTGGGGGCTCGCTGTACTTGATCACGACGCCTCGGAAAGTGTTGGTATCCTCCAGAAGGGCACCAGACAGTTCAAAGCTCGGTTTTTCTTTGTTTACAGCTTTATCTTTTGGTTTATTATCAGATTGCCTGTGTTCTGGATTCTGGTCGAGACCGCTGCCCTCGTTATTCTGTCGATGCTCTCGTCTTTTCTCATTATAAAACTCCCTCTCCGCTTGCTGCTCACGGATGTTCTGAACATCTCTCTCTCGCTCGTGGCCTCGACCCCCAGGCCTTTCACTTGGATTTTTCCTCCTGTCTGAGTGATCTCTGTGCCTGTCTCTCTCACCGCTTCTGTCTCTCCTGTGTTCCTGTTCTGATGCGTGTCTCTGCTTTCGCTCCTCGTTTCCTCTACGAGGATGGTCATCTCGTTCCTGAGGAAAAGAAAATAAAAGACTTATAGCAATGGAACTAGAATAAGAATGAAAGAACAGCAGGTTCACTTTCAAAAGAGATCACAGATCAATACATGAAAAACAGACTGGAATACGTGACACGTATATCTAGATAAAGTTATTTCCTTGCAAACTGAACTTGGGCTGAATAACGCAAGACTGAGGGAGAGCAATGCATCATCAACATCAGGAAAAAGGAAGCTTTCCGGGTCAGCCTGCAGAAGTGACAGAGGCTGGGCTCACTAAAAGGTACAAATAATCAGTTCCTTATGGCACAACACGAAGCAGGGAGCAACGAGATATTACACTCCTAAAGAGATGCTCTACAAGGATCAGAGGGCTTCCAGACCAGAAGCCGGTTCCGTACCTCCGCACGCATCTCACGGCCGCAGCAGGACGCACCCCGGGCCCCGCCGCCACTCTTGTGTGCAGAGCCGAGCGGCGGGCAGCTCACAGAGCCGGGCCTCGCCGCTCCCAACGCCATTTACCTGCTTTACCCTCACAGCCCCGTGATGCGGACTCCGGCTCCGCCTGCTGCGCGGAGATTTGCTCCTCCGGCCGGATTTGCTCTTCCTTTTAGGCGATCTTTAAGACAAGGACATGAAAAGTGAGCGGGGCCTGCGGGCTGCGGGCCGCGGCGCGGGGCCGCCAGGAGGCCTCCTACCTGCTGCTCCTGCCGCGGCTGCCCCGCCGCTCCTCGGCCGGCGGCGATTGGCTGCCACGCGCCGAACGGGAACCGGACCGCCGCGGGCTCCGCTTCTCGGCCTTCACTGCCACCTCCCGCCGCCGCCGCTCCCGTCGCCGTTCGGCTGCGGCCTCCATGGTGCCGCGAGCCGCTACAAACGGAAGTACGCGCCGCTTCCGGCCCGCGCGCAGTCACCCGGAAGTACTTCTCCCAGAGCCGCTGCGTAACGCGCCTGCGTAGGCACGCTGCCTTCCGCTCCGCGCATGCGCCTTATGGAAAAAAAACGAGCGGCGCGGTTGCCATAGCGACGGCCGCCGCCATGATCCCGCCGCCGGACTCGCTGCTGCGCTACAACCCGCCGATGCTCGTCAGTCGCCGCACCGAGAAGCGCTCCCCGGAGGTGAGTGGGGCGGGGAGGAGCGGCCTGTGCCGAGCCCGGCCCGCACCCACCGCTCTCTCCCCTCAGGCCCTCCCGCTGAAGGCCACCCCGCAGCCCTCCCCGCCGCCGGGTCCCGTCCCGCCGCCCCGACCTCGCACGGCCGCCGCCGCTGCGTCAGCGAAGGAACCGCAGGAGATCCTGAACGCCATCCTACCGCCGCGGTGAGTCGGTTGGGGATCCGCCGAGCCGTTCCTCAGGGCCGCCCCGCTGAGCTGCTGCTTTTCTGTGCAGGACGTGGGAAGAGGACAACCGGCTGTGGGTGCAGGAGGTTTCCAGCACTCCCAGCACCCGGCTGGACGTCGTGCAGCTGCAGGAGCAGCTGGACCTGAAGCTGCAACAGCGGCAGGCGAGAGAAACAGGCATCTGCCCCGTGCGAAGGGAGCTGTACTCACAGTGCTTCGGTCAGTGCTCCTGGCATCCACACAGCTGCCTTAAAAGCACAGCCTGGAACAGGCATTGTACACATATATAAAAGATACAGGGGCTTAGCATTGCGTTAGTTATACACAGCAGTTAAGTTAAAACCCTTTGCCACTCCTAGTGTTGCCAGCAAGAGATGGCTGTTTGGTTAAACCGAGCTCTGCTGGAGTGCTGAAAGCTGCATAAAACCATTACAAGTTTGAAGGGTTTTGCTGTTATGTGTTCTTACCTTTCTTGTACCACCCCTCTACTTCATGCCTGTGGTTTTGTTAGGTAGCACTTGATGCTACAGCTGCAATACAACAAACAAAATTATGACTGTCTCCAGTTAAATCGATGCTGCTTTTGTGGTGCAGAGAACAGGGCAAAGACAACTAGCCCTGCACATTGTGCACACCCAGCATTCCCAACTCAGTGCAACTCTGTTGCTGTACCTTTTCTTTAAAGATGAGCTGATCCGTGAAACCACAATTAACTGTGCAGAGCGAGGACTGCTGCTGCTTCGAGTCAGGGATGAGATCCAAATGACAATTGCTGCTTACCAGACGTTGTACGAGAGCAGCATTGCCTTTGGCATGCGGAAGGCACTGCAAGCAGAGCAAGGCAAATCTGACATGGAAAAAAGAGTAAGCTGGTTTGTTACCCTTATGCTGTATGGCATGAAGAAAGCTAAGCTATGGGCTTCTGTATCAAAATCAATTATTTCTGCTTCCACTGGATGGCAGTAAAGTGTATCCAATACTTGCCTTAAAGGCTGCGTTTCATAAACGATCTGCTAATATTCCTGTAGCATTTTAAAGACTGTACAACATAGCATTGTCTCAGCATAGTAGAAAATTGATTAATAGCAAACAAAACATGAGAGATCTGTATTATTTTCCGAGATTGAAGAGCTAGAAGAGGAGAAGAGGGAGCTGGAAAGACTGGTGAGCGAAGAGAAAGCAAAATGTGAAGCTATTGAGAAACGTGAGACTGAAAGGCGACAGATAGAGGAAAAGAAACACACTGAAGAGGTCCAGTTCCTGAAGAGAACCAATCAACAGCTGAAGGTTAGTAAAGAAATGCAGTTCTAATTAGTGATGGTAAAGCCAAGCATTTTGCAATTAAAGATGTAAAAGGAACTAATTTTATCCTTTCAGTTCAATAGGAGTTCCATTTATGATGCATTTGTATTAATGCTTTAAGTTCTCAATGAAATGGGGAAAAGAGCACAAGTTTTATGCTTTCTGACTACAATTATTTAGCAGCAGACTTGTAGTACAGTGAGAATGCCCTCACACGTTCCTGCAACTTCCCATTGCTATGTGAGATAATAGAACTATGGACAACACAAAACCTAGGAAGGGTGAGCACACGTCACTGACATCTCTAGCCTCCAGAAATCTGTTACATCACATTTGAGGTGTAATTACTGTGATGGAGGTAGAAGCATTCTTCCTATTCACTTGTTGCTCGTGGAAAACACTTTATGTCCCATGGTGATCTCGACTGGATTACTGAAATTGTTTTGTATCTGAAAGGAGTGATTCTGTGTATGCTACTTTAATGAAAGCAGAGCTTCTGTCAATTACTTTGCTTTCAGAAGGGGAAAAAAAAAAGTGTAATCATAACCATAAATGTTTCTGGCTAGAGCTGAAATACTTCCTTTACACCAAGCTGCCCTCCTGATCTTCAGTATTGTTACAGTTTTTCCTTTCTAAACCATTAACAGCCTCAGGCCATCTTGAAGTGTTTTAGGGCACAAAATACAGTAACTGTTGGAGCAAATATGTGCAGGGCTGAAGCCGTGTTTCCTCCTTGAAGTATTTTAACAGCTGTGCGTGTATCACTGTGGTAGTTTATTTTTATGGCAGCTTTAGGAAGAGAGCAATCTGAAAGCCCTGGAAGCCTCACACACTACATGCTTCTTAAGCTCTCTGATCAATCTCTTCACTGGGCGTCAAGTTGTCTCAGGAACTGAAAAACTTGCTGTTCCCAGCTACTTCTGTCCTCGAGTCAGTTTGTGTTCCAAACCCCAGAGAGCCAAATATTTAATTTAGCTAACATAGTCCAGCCTGAAATCAGAGAATTCAGACCACTGTTTCAACAGCTTTTATTTAATTTCCTCCTCAGTGCTTTACATTATAAAATGAGTCTTTCATTGTATGGAGCCAAGGCCAGCTCTTTTCTTCTCAGAAAGCAACAAGTGTGCATGCCAAGAATGAAAAGCTAATTTATAAAACATGTAGTGAGGAATGGAGTAGCTAGGGAAAAACCCCTGCTCTGTTCCTCTTAAGTACCACAGTATCACTCAGCTCTTCTCTTTGAATATCTAACAGACAATTTATCACTGCTCAGCCACACAGTTTTTATTTTCTAGATTAAATCTAATTTGACTGATTCTCCCATTTGCTTTTCAGGCTCAACTTGAAAGCATCATTGCACCAAATAAGTAAATTTTTTGTTGGCCTCCAGGCCAGAAGAGCTGTCAGAGAACAAAGTTTGCAATTAATGACTAAGATTTGTCTTCATAAAACAGTACTGAACTTTCACTTACCGGTAACTGAAAGCAGTCTAATTGCATTATTTCTCCCTTTTTCTCGTTAAGAATTGAAATTTAAAACCTCAGTAACAACTGTGCCTTCTTCCTGTGCCATCACAGCATTCAGCTCCTCGATATGTGAACATGGCTGGGTCTCGCTAGTTGGCAATATGCTGGATGATCTTCAAAGCAATAAACTAATAAATGCTTTTCCAGGCAAGCATCTCTAAAGTTTTTACTCTGGAAGTGTACAAAATTCATTCAGAGGCAGTTTATGAAGTGTCTACACTCACGTGTGTCACATTCACTGTTAGGTTTTAGGTAGCTCTTGGACACAAGGCAGTTAGAGTACTTCCTGAGCACGTGCAAGTCAGTGTTATTTATGTACCAAAATCCTTCTCAGCAACCAGCAGCAGTCACCTAAGATGAGCAATACCAAACCCTGTGCTTATTTCTAATGAAACAAAGATGTATCCAAGCAGCACTTCTCAGTGAATGCAAATGACAGTTTCAGCTGAGATAGCTGCATAACCAGCTAGTTACAATCAGCAAACAGGCATAGGAAGAGAAGCTCACTGTGCTCTCTGAAACAGCTCCATAAAGCTCATTTCCAGCAGACCAAATCTGAAGAACATTTCAGGAAGTGTTTTTTTTGCAAACGCAGTGTTTACTGGCCTTAGATGGTGATGTGGAAATACCACGATCCAGTTGCATAAAGAACTTTCAGATGATGCAGAAAAAGAACGAGATGTGACTCCTGGGAACAAGACAGACAAGTCAAACTCAGCTTTGACTGGGAACTACAAGTTTTATATTAAAAAAAAGAAAAGCCACCGCATACTGGAGCTGTTTTATGTAAAATTTAATAGGATCAACAGTTATTGCTTATGTTTATATTTTTTGTGCTTTGATCTCTGTGCCTCCGAGCCACTTTTTTTCTTGTTCTTATTCTTATTTTTCACGTTGTGAGTTTCATAATACCGGACTCCAACTTTCTTGGAGCGCTGCTGCCTCTCAGCTCGTCTCCTCTGTAATGCACACAAAATGTGTTAGCACGTCCACAGCACCCACTGCCTGAATTTGTCTGCATTCTTTCAGTGTTCACTTTGCATTCCACAAACCTTACGTGAAACAAATCGTTTCCTATAAACCATTACTGATGTGAACAAACAAACATCTATAAAGAATCCACCCACTCAAGCTCTTAAAACGTCACGTGAGAGGATGCAGTTTAATCCCTACAAAAGTGGAGGAGAATTACAAGAAAACTGATGTGCAGGAACTGTGACCAAACACGCATGAATAGAATTCAGTCTTCCACTGTCAGTCTTCCTCTGACAGTCCTGACAGTCCATATATATTAATACCCCCCCCTCTTCCCCCAAAAAAACCCCACCAAAATAAACAAATCCTTGTGCAGGATTTGTTTACACATCACTTTAACATGCTGCAAATACCAAGTGAAACAGCCTGTCTAGACTCAACAAACACAAATAAGAAATAGGAGCAGCAGCTCTTGCTGTAGACAGAATGGAACAGCCACTGACTTTTGCCCATCTAGACCCAAGTTTTCTCATCTGTCAGATTTAGATCCCTGCTCTCTTAGCAGCATCGCAAGGTAAGCAGAACAGCTCTCTACAAAGGATTTCCCTTTCATTTCCCTTTCAACACTGTCATTGTTACCTGCTGGCTCCTCTAATGGCTGTATGGCCAGCTGGAACGTACTGCTGTCACAACAGACAGCTGATGTCAGGTCTCAAACCTCTCCAATAACAATGGGCAATCCATGCAGGAAGAAGCCAGCCCAATTACTCCACTTATCTATTACACAACAGGAGATCACACTTACTTCTTTGGATGTCAGCTTCTTGCAAGGCTGTTTACCCAAGTGGTCTTCATCATCCTCCTCTTCTCTATTCCTTTTTCTTTTCTTTACTGTGCCACCTGCAAACACCAAAGATCATGTTCTGCAGCATCTTCCACAACACCCACGTGCCCACAGAATTAAGACTGGGGTCACTGTCCCATCCATTTCAGCAAAGCAATCCTTTGGTGGTATTTTAAGAGCTTTTACCAAAACAACGTGTCCATCCCTTACCAGAAAACCACTTCTGGTAAGCAGATTGCTTAAAGCCTTACGTAAGTCTAGAAAAATATCCATCTTGTCAGTATAGGATTCTTCCACATTATTTTGCCTTTAATCAAACTTGCTTTGGAAACTGAAGACAGACTTGCAAAAAGTGACCACAGTAAAATCTATAGCCTGAAGTAGCTCTGTGCTTTTATAATGTCACAAAATGCTTCCACCCCCTGCTGTGTAATACTATACCATGTGGAACGGATGTTGCTGAGACTGCAAACCACCCACAGCACCATTCTGCTGAGAGCACAACATTTGTCTTTATCTTCACTCAGTAGTTGAGGGCATGTTTTACTATCCAGACCCTACAGAAAGGCTACAGCAAGGTCATGAAGCATGAACCCTTGGGTTCACAAGCAGAGGTTTAAGAAACAGCTCTGCAGAAAGAAGAACTTGCAGTCAGGAGCCAATGAAAACCTTTAATCCCTATTTTCTCTCTCATTGGATTTCCAAGCACAGATCAGGAACTCCTAATTTTGTTTTACCTTTCTCTTCATTTTCTTTGGTCTCTTCAGCCTTCTGCGTGGATTTTGCAAACACTTTTTCACTCAGCTGCTTGGGGATTCTACCAAAGATAAAACAGGCAATAAAAGAATGTCATAACACAAAATGCAGCCATATCTAACAAGTGATCAATCTCCAGTAGGTCCCAGCAGCCTGTCACCAGCAAAGCCGCAGACTCTGCATGGAAGAAATATTCCAGTAAGCTCGTCTCTAGAGTTACTGGACTTGTGCATTGCACAAAGGGCAACATTTAACACTTCACCTTGACATCTCAGTCCTCACGAACCTGGGGGATTTACTCTGCTAAAATTGGGCCTGCTACACAAGCTGGGATAGTCTTGTAAATGCACAGACTCAGATACAGAGAGGACGCTGCCCTCTGTATTACTCAAGAAAGGTCAATAGCAGGGAAAAATGCAAGGGAGAAATACTGCTCCCCACAGGTTTCTAAACCATAGCTGAAAAGGCAGCTTTCCAAAAGTGAGAAAACTTTGTTATTATGGCCAGCAGGAATTCTTAGAACATTCTCTCAAAAACAAACTGCTGCTTAGCCAAAGCTCAAGCATTTATGGCTCAGCTAGCGAAGCCATGGCAATGCAGCATAAATGGAGTGAAACTACAACAGAAACTTATCGTCTCCTTCCCACCCTCCCCCAGGAAAACGCTCGAGTCACTAAACAGATTCAGATACCTTATTGCTGAGAATCTCTTGGCTTTGGCCTTATCCAGGAATTTTTTGCATTTTGCAATCTTCTCCTCCAAAGCCTGAAGAACTGCCTTCGAGCTTTCCTTGGCACTCGGTACAGTTGGCTGTGATTCTGCCTCTACTGAATCTTGATGTTGCTCATTTTCCTCTTCCTCTTCTTCCTGTTCCTCCTCTTCAGGACAATCGCTGTCTGTTTCATCAAAGCCTGGCACATCTACAGGAATTAGGTCTTCTTCTGAGAACTGAGGTGCTACATTAATCCTCCCAAAGTTTTGCCGAACGTTTGCCATGAGTTGCTTCATTTCTGTGTCTGTGTTGTTCTTCTCTTCTGTTGCCTCCATACTTGATGCTACAGACTCAGAAATTTCCTTCTCGTTGATAGATTGGCTTGATGTCATTGCTCCTTCCAGTGCAGGTGGCTAGGAGAAAGGGAATAATGGATATATCATCCACAGCCTGTCCAAACATCCCTTTGGACAAAGCCTAAAATAACTAACATGGTCATTACTGACATTTCTACTAGTCAGACGATTGCAAAACAGCTCAGATGTCTCTGTGGAAGAATTCTTTGCTACCTGCTCCTCTCCATGTAACTATCAAATTTAAATGACTATCACCTGAATCACGTCAGGAAAAGCCCAAGTTACACGGTGCTCAGGCAAAAGCTCCAGTGGGTATCATTAAAAAAGGGAATAATATGCAAGAAGAGGCACGAGCTTCACATCCTCACCTCAGAACCTGCTTCTGCATTTGGTGGCTTCACAAAGAATGGAATTCTGCCCCTCTGCCAGTCGTTGAGAACCATCTTGCTGACAGTTTGCACATCAGGCTCACCACCCTGAAAGAATTCAGTAACAGTTTCTGTCCTTGTTTGCAGGGCATATCATCTTCATGTTATCTCTTTGCAACTGAAACATGTTTCCCATGTTCAGTGCAGAAACAGACCCCCGTGCTCTTCCAACCCGTAAATGGAGGATGCTCTCAAACCTTTAGTAGTTTGCCAGTCCTAGAAGCAAGCTTCTCCAGGAAATCTTCTGTATCTTCCCAGAAATCAATTTTGTATGTCTTCCTGATGTACTCTGGTTTGGCTCTTTCCAGCACCGCACTAATGTGGTCTTCAGGGCTCTTAATCTTTTCAACTTGAACCTAAAAACGAATGCTCAAGTTTATCAACCCTTTGGAAAGTGAACTCACCACACCGAAAACAGCAAGAATTCTCCCTGCACACAGCATAAATACGTACCACTCCCTTCAGAACAATGTCTGTTTCTGAGTCTCCAGATGGATACACAACCCCTGGGCAGTCAATGAGAAAAATCCGCCTCATCAAAGTAATGTACTGCCACACCTGAAAGACACCAGTGGTCCCCACGTTATCTCCTCTCACGCACAACTGTTAGTTCAGCTTTTCAATGCACAGGTTTAACACACAGATGTCATCTCAGAAACCTGGCATTAGCACAGCACTGAGTCAGGGCAGCTGAGCGTTCAGATCGCACAGCGCTGCAGAACAGGCAGGGTGGCAGGCACAGAAACTCAGAAATGCTTCTGTGCAGCAGCACTCCAGAACAATGCCTGGCTCATCAGCCACCCCTCAGACTCAGGGTCATACAGCCTGTATAATTTCGGTGACTTGAAAATGTTAACGAGCCAATTTTACATCTATTCTGCCTCTGGCATTTAATATTTTAAATATTATTTTTATAATCTTCAAAACAGCAGCGTCTTCCTACCTTGGTTTCACCAGCAATGGGAGCCACATTGCAGACCTTCTTAGACCGCAATGTGTTGATCACTGAGCTTTTGCCAACGTTTGGGTACCCAATAAATCCCACACTGATCTGTTTCTTGTCAGAGTGTAACTGTTAAGAAAGGACACATCACTTTAATACCTCATAGAAAATGACCGAGTTACTACTGCAGTTTTAGCAGCTTCTGGTCTTGTATGACAAAGCAAAGGCAGCTCCAAATCTACCAGATTAAAGACAACTGAGATCAGCTCTTTTCTATCTGGAGAAATGTACAAGGGCAGAATCTGTCTAAGAACTCCAGCCACTGAAAGAGAAGGAAGATGTGAACCCAATGTGTTTCTTGCTGCTTTGAACTTACTTGTAAATGCCTTAAAATTAGAAACCTTTTAGACTGAAAAACAAAGCAAATACAAACAGCAGCAGGGGACAGCAGACAGCTGTGGTCTGGAGGCAGCCATTTTCTCTTGTCTTGAGGTCAGTTACTTTCTTGGGAAAGTGAAGATACTTAAAAGGAGCATCCTAATACAGCATGCATACATGCAGGACATTAACAGGCCTAAAATACATTCCCTTCCTCTGTTCATTCACATCAGACCTAAGAGTGCCAACTGAGGGGTAGTGTTTCCCATTTCCACAGAATGAAGCTTGTTTGCTGACAGAACGGCCAAAAGAAAGTGTGCTGTACCCCACACATTAAAACAGAAGAAATCCCATATGAACCCCACCCCCCTTCCAACCCCAAACAGCACAAAGGCCCACGGTTGTTCTGTACCTTTCCAAACTGCCTTAGAAGCTGTATGAAAGCACCTTTGCCAAAAGGGTTTGTGAGGCTGGCGTGAAAAGCAAGTGTTGGGTATTCCTGGGAAAGGACAGCAACCCAGCGCTTCTAAAAGAGGAAAACACTGCTCAGTTATCAATGCTGTGCTGCAAAGGTGGGGAAACAATGTGATGATGAGAACGCAGCACTTTCACTGCACTCACACACACAACTGTCTATAAAAAAATTGCCATGTAAGAACCTTTGAAGCATTTTTATCAGCCCACCAGCTAAAAGCACTGGCTATTGTTTTCATAAAGGCAATTTCCCCCAAACGCCTTCATTGCTAGCTAATTAGTTTAACAATATAAAACAGACCAGCTGTGGAGGACATGGATCTTAAATGTACTAACATTTAGCATACTCTGGAGACATCAGCTGAACAGTTAAATCCAGACAGAGGAAATAGGGAATTTGTGGCTGATGACTGTTGCTCAACTGAGCCAAACTTGGACTGATTTAAATGGTCATTGTTACTTTTACAGTGAGCAAGCAGAGAGTTCCCACTGACCCAGTTACATTATGCCCTAAAGAAACTAGAACAAGGACTGGCAACAGAATTAGAGGCCATGAAAGGAACAAAAAAACATTGAAGGGACGAGGCTGTGCTTACAGTAGCCCAGGTAGGAACAAGATCACATTTGTTCAGGACAAAAATGAGATGTTTCCAGTGTTTCTCTTTTTTCAGATAAGATTCCACATGAGGGGAGCGAGTACCCATAGGATCTCTGGCATCAAGAACTTGAACAACAACATCAGATGAGTCTATCACCTGGAGGAAAAAAAAATACATATATATCACACAGAAGGAAAGTCACCATTTCCAAATCTAAATTAGTAACTTCCTACATTCTTCTCCTTATAGCATAAAACCTTATAGCCCTTAGGAACAACTGTTACTTTCCTGTAACGATCCCAGACTCTACTCTCTCCTCCCTGCTCCCCTCCAAATTTAGGCTGGACAGCTGTGAGCAGCCTTTATGCACTACAGCTTCTAGGAGCACTTGGGAAGGGAAACACTACAACCAAACAGTGAAGTTATTTGCTTAAGCAGACAAAAACAATGTTCTCCATCCATTCCATAAAGGATGTTTGCTGGATCAGTATGAAACACACAACCAAGTAGGAACCTGCTGTTAGTCCACTAAGCATCTACAGCAGGGAGCTGTCATTTCATGACTTGCTTCAAGCCAAGTGAATTTGTTTCACAGCTATTTCCTGCATTTTTGGCAGAATCCTATTGAAATCTGTTTTGCTCTATCATTCCCAGCATTTTTAGGCCCAGATGAGAAAGTTCTAAGCTGCATTCAGAAATTCAGAACAAGAAGTCAAGCAGTTTAACAACTAACAGTCACTGAGAGCGCACAAACTGCACCTACCAAGCTAATTCATCCTCAGACTCCACTCCTCTAGCAGAGGTGGTAACTCATGGAGAACTGAAGGTGAAAGCACTCCAAAGATCTTATGACACGTCCTTGAAGAAACTTAAGGGCATTTAGCTGGTTTATTTGTGGTAAAGCCCTAGGAATTGTTCATTCTGCCAGCTCAGCTTTCGATCCTATATTTTGAGGGTGTTTGTTCCACTGGAACAAGAGCTCAAGAATCAAGCTCAGTCAGGCAGAGACTTGAAAATGAATCTCCCCTCTACTCTACAGCTGCTTTTTTTCCTGTTCTAGTTGATGGTCTGGTTCAACACCAGTGTTAGAAGAGAGTGTATGGCTTTATATCAGTCAGTTCAGTTAGGCTGACAGGAAAACAAGCAAGAGAATTATACACTCAAATAGACAAACAGACACTTTTGTTCTAAGAAACTATACAGCAAATTCAGCAGATCAAAAACTTTCCTAAGGTGGCAAGATCAATAAGTGTGCTGTTTTCAGAGCTTTTCAGAGCACTGCCACACAAGATTTCCAAGCTGTGCTGCAGAACTGGACTTCATAAAGGCTAAAAGACAGACAAATGCCTGCTGCAAACTGTAAGTGTTGCTTACCTTGTACAGCTCACCCCAAATTCTTTTTGACTGTCCTTTCTTAAATATTTCCTCTTGTGCTTCATCCCTGGAAGTGGATCACCAGAGACATCAAACAACCACAACAACAGGGCTGTAGTGCTGTCTTCTCTAAAGCCAGTTAGCCATTTACAGAGAGAAGAGGAGATTAGACCCAGTCCCTTATTTAACCCAATATCTGAGTTCACAAATTGTCAGATGTGCAACAAGCAATGAATTAGCAGTGAAGACAGAAGGGTCCCATGGAAGCAGCAGGTCAGTTAAATATAGTGGGACAAAAAAGCTTAAAATCCAGCCAAATTCAGCTTATTTCTCATTGCATTCTCATCAATCAGAGACTGGCAGCATTGATAGAGGTACTAGATGCACTTTTTTTTCTTTAAGTGAATGAAGCTGACGTTTAAGAAATGTAAATAGAGAATAATTTCTCCTTCCTATCTACCTTACACCAGTGTCTTCTGTGACCAGGTCTCTGTCTTTGCCCTGATCATAACACTCTGATGAGGCTTCTGCGTTCTCCAGCAGAGACTGCACATCACTTGCAGCAAGGTTTGGCCTTTTCCTCTGTGCTTTGGGGCCAAACGTTGTTTCAAATGTTTCTGTGTCAAGAATGTGAACTCTGGAGGTCTGTGGAAAGATGGAGTGTTAAAAAACAAAAAAGAACAAAAGAAAACACACCACAATGTCTGGTTTTCCATCTCTGGTAACACGCAGCCAACAAGACCTCAGTGCAATGCAACTCTGTAACCTCAAATAGGAGTTATAGGTAACAGTGTTTGAGTTCTGCAGCTTAATCTTGAGAAGCACAAACGTGGATATTTAACAAGCAGCAAAACAGCTGCACTTGCCAAAGAATTATGCTTCAGTTCTTTCTGCATAAATGATGTCAAAAGTAATTAAGGCTACAATGATGAAAATTCAGCTGCTATCTTTGATCATTTCTTGTTTTTCTAACAAGTGCACAAATCTCGCCAAATTCACAGGTTTTTGTCAGGGATAATTACAGTCCAAACTGTAGAATTTGAAGCTTGTAATGAATGCCAACTTTTCTTGGAACGTCACACAATTCATAGCTGAAAGAAATAATTTGTTTTTGTAACACTTATTTTAGTTTACAGTAACTATGCCCTTCATTTAGGTAACATTTTTATGACACAAACCTGGCAACTTCCCATGTGAACAAGTACCTAACAATACCCCAAAGCAATATTTCAGACATTATGAAAGCAGTCTGGTAACAACTCAAGGTTTACGTGCTTGAAACTCAATTCTCCTTGAAACGAAGGCAGCGTGCAGAACTTCTGATTCAAGATAAAAAGCACACATTTGAGTTCAGACATTCACTGCATGAGGGGGCACACGCTAACAGAACGATGCTTGTGGTCTGATTGTCACATCAACCATTGGAAGCATTAGAACATGAGGTAGCAAGCTGAGATGGTCGTTTTCAATGCCATATTCTAACCTAGAGTGCTTTGAAGTAGATTTCCTGTGAGAAAATGTGAATTCCATAACACAGACCTCACAAAGCACAGGGAAATAACACACTGCTTCTTTGCCTACAGCATCTGCAGCGTTGTGGCCTCAAAAATATCCCACCCCAAGACATTTGCCCCAGTTCCTCCTCCAATGCTTCTACAAACACAGCAAATTTCCCACTGATAAATAACATTCATGATACCTCTGTGCACACAACAGCCTCAAAGCAGTGCAGATGAATGATACTCACGTGAGGTTTAATCCGATCGTGGAAAAGGGACATTGGTAATTTGCTTTGCTTCATGACCACTCTGTATGGATCTTTCATGACAGTTTCCATTTCTTCTTGAAATTTTTGTAGGGATGACTGCTTGATCACACGAGTATTCCCTGCATGTGAAAAATCAATACTGCATCTACACCACTCCCCATCTTTAACTGCTTCAGAGAATCCGAGTATGCTATGAAAATATAAATACTTCAACTGGAATAAAAAATACCAGCAGTAAGAAATAGAACTTGAAAAAAAAATATTTGAGATTGGCATATACAAAGCACCTCCATTCCATCAGTCAAAGTAACACAGAACACTGAGGATATGTAGGTTACAACATGTACTTAACAGCAGCACATGGAAAGCAAATAGCCAATGTGTTGCACGTGCAAAGTGGAAGCCAATGAGCTTGCCTGTTGTGAGGGGTATTTCACCTTCATTTCCAGGTCTGTCCCACACAACGCTGAAAGCACAATTCTGAAATAAGCACAAACTACAACAACCCACAAAGTTCAACCAACTCCAAGCCTCCTGAATTGAGAGCCTGAAAGCTGAGAAAACTCACCAAACCATTTAATATTTGGTTCCACTCTTGCAACTGTGCCTGGTGCCACTGTCGACTGATACTGCAGAGGTTTAATCACTTTGCCACGCTTGTTTCTAAGTGAAAAATGAGAATGCATGTAAACACACAATGAAGCCATGCACCCCCATAGCACTTTCATTCACTAAAGCCACCTTTCAACCCCTCAGTGCCAATCCAAGTCTATGCTTGCACAAAGACCACAGAATCCTAGAATGGCCTGGGTTGAAAAGGAGCACAGTGCTCATCCAGTTCCAACCCCCTGCTGTGTGCAGGTCACCAACCAGCAGCCCAGGCTGCCCAGAGCCACATCCAGCCTGGCCTTGAATGCCTGCAGGGATGGGGCATCCACAGCCTCCTTGGGCAACCTGTTCCAGTGCCTCACCACCCTCTGGGTGAAGAACTTCCTCCTAATATCCAACCTAAACCTCCCCTGTCTCAGTGTAAAACCACCCCCCCTTGTCCTATCACTGTCCACCCTCATAAACAGCAGCACAGCACTGCTAGTTGGACGAGCTATCACACCTGCTGGCACACACTGCCCTGCAATGATCCTAGGCTGATATTTTTTCTGTTTGCTGTGTCAAATCACAGAGAAATGTCTCTGAAAAACACCTCACCAAGCACCTTTGTGTTTTGAACTCTATTTATCAGAGGTGGCTTGGGGTCAAGCTAAGTACTTCAAGATAACTGATAAAAGTTAGCATGCAACATACAAACACACATACACACACACTACAGTAGCTTTCCTGCAGCACACCCCAAAGCTCTCAATTCTCACTCCAGCTTGACTGAACTCTTCAAAACTGCATACGAATATCTTATTGAGGTGCAAGGCCTACTTAAGCATGACTTCCAAAGATATTACTCTCTTTTCTTTCACATGCTGACATGGAACCTTTGCAATCAGTTCTACCCATCAGCCTCTACTGAACACCAGCCAGAAGAGACGCTTCCACCTCGAGACTTGGATTAAACTTAGTCATTTTTCACAATGTCATACCTCCCCCAGTCATACCTCAAAACAAATTAACAGCTGGCAAAACAGAACTGCTACTCCTAACCAGCAACCTCAGAACCCTCACAGCACCAACATCGTAGCAGAGGTGCATATTTATAAGGTAGGAACTGTGCCACAGCTGTAGGTTCTCACGTGGGTCTCTCAGTAAGAGCCATACAGATGTCAGGCTCTTCAGGCATCCTGAGGTGCACTTTGGTTGGACATGAAAGAATTCTGAGTATTTTGGGATTTGTGACATCCCAATGGGGATCATCAACTCTTTGAAAGGGGAGATAACAGCAGGACGAGGGGAAATGGCTTGAAGTTGAGGGAGAGAAGAGTTAGGTTGGATGTCAGGGGGAAGTTCTTGACAGAGAGAGTGGTGAGGTGCTGGAACAGCTGCCCAGAGAAGCTGTGGCTGCCCCGTCCCTAGAGGTGTTCAAGGCCAGGTTGGATGGGGCTCTAGGCAGCCTGGTCTGGTATTGAATGTTGGTGGCCCAGCATGTGGCAGGGGGTTGGAGATTTGTGATCCTTGAGGTCCCTTCCAACCCCGGCCATTCTGCGATTCTGTGAATGGGAACACATCAGCTGTTCCATGTCACAGCTTTCCAGCTACATTCCTTGACACACATAAATTAGAGTTCAGGATCAAGTTCCCCAGCTCACACCATTCCCCAAATCAGCCCAGTAACCAGACGCTGCCACCACACGAAGCCCCAGCAGCCGCCCAGTGCGTGGCTCCCGACCAGAGCACACGACGGACAGGGGCACTCCGCTACACAGCACCGGGCACGGCCGCGCTCACCTCCGCTCCTTCTGCCGGTACATGTTGAGACGGCGGATGGTGGCTCGGTCCCGCATGTTGTTCCCGCCCGCGCCAGCCACGCGATCTGAGGAGAGAAAGCACTGTTAGACCCGGCCGGCACAACTCGGCCCGGCCCACACGTGATACGACACGCTTAAGATCGCAACGCCGCACGTACCGGGATTGGTGCTGGCGCGGGACGGGTTGATGGTGCTGCGGCCTTTATAGCGTGGCTTCACCATGGTGCCGCCGGGACCGGACCAAGCGGAGACACCGCTGCACTACACGCGCGGCTTCGAGCAGGAAGCAGCGGCACGTGTACTTCCGGCGTGGGGGCAGCGCGATGACGTACTTCCGGCGGCTCCATTTCCCGACTGCGCAGGCGCCCCCCAGGTTGCTATGGCAACCGCTAGGCACCGCCTCACACGTCCGGTTGCTACGGCATCGCGTGGGCCTCGCCGGTCCAGGGCCTGGCTCTACCCCCGTTACCCGCCGCTGCCCATCGTTACCCACCTCTCCCCACCGTTACACATCCCGCGGGAGAGGCCAGGGGATGCCGGTCCCCATAGGGGCTGTGCCCGCACCCACCGCCCGGCCTTGCCCGCCTGGTGCCCGCCGGCTCCCGCTGTGTGCCCGGGGGCGCGGCCTCCGGTTCTCCATAACCTTTCCTCTGACTTCTTCCCAGTCCCCGGCTGTCCGCCCTGGACAGTGAGCAGACTGCAGGCGTTTCAAAGGGCTGTAACAACGAGAGTGCTGGCACGGGAGCCCTCATTGTTTTTGAAATGTTGTTTGTTCACAGAAACATAATAAGAATCATTTGGGAGCTTGGCATTAGGACTTATTTCCATTTGCAGATGAATGCATGCGGTCAGCAAAGCGGTCTGCTGATGCGGGGATGCTGGGGGGAGCGCTGGGGAGCGAGCTGCAGGCAGCAGCGTGCACTGGGGTGTTTACAGGCACAAAGTTGTTTGTCCCGGGCTCCTGGCACCGACTGGTCAAAATCACAAATGACAACACACTCATTTACATGCATGTAAAGAATTGCACGGACCTTGCAACAGTCTAAACGGAATTTTAGGCAAATTACAGTCCTGAAGACTACGCTACGTTCAGCCAGATTTCACTAGAAATTGGAAAGATCCACACCTAGGAGGAATGACCCAAAGCCTGCTGAAATGGTGTTAATTCAGCGCAGAGGTTGGGCTGGGAGCAGGCAGCTCTGCACGCTGGGGAGTCGTTTGCCAAAGTGAAGGTCTGTCCCAGCATCCCTGAATAGTTATTAGTGGCAGAGAATTCACGGCTAGTTCAATTTCCTCGCAGTTCTGCTAATGCTCTGCTAAATCCAGAACAATAACAGAGCTTCTGAGATTGTGTTCTTTTAATGATTTTCAGCATTTTGCTTTTAGGTAGCGCACGGTTCCTTCTGCACAAAGTAGTCCCAATTAGTCAGACTTCTGAGCTGCTTTGTGAGATGGCAGTCTCGAATTTTCAGTGTGTTTTGTATAAGCCTTTTTTTTCTCTTAATGGAATTATCTGTGCCTCGGGCCTGTAACAAACACAGTGATGTGGGCATAAAAAAATCAATTCCAAATTGTAGATAATTGTTTAAACTATCAGACTCGAGGCTTATGTAGAAGAGTTTTCTCAGGACAAGTGTGTTTTCTATTAAAGTTGATATTAATCTGTCAGAAAATCCTTTTGATTTTCCAATTTTTAGACTAAATAGTTGAGTAATACTTGCCCTGTCCTTCCCCGCTCTTTCTTCCTTCTCCTTAAGAAAACACTCCTTTTATTGTTTGCAAAATATCTTGGAAGGCATCCAGAAAATTGCTGCCTCTTTCTTTAAAAGAATAGTAATAGCGTTAGACACGAGGTTATGTCATGGAGGGCTTTTATTGGTAATGCATCTGAGTTAATCAGAAAATTTCCACTTTGAAAGCTTTGGCACAAGCAGCTTTTTCTCCAGCCTCGCTTATGGTGAGCCCTGTCATCCATGCCAGAGTGGGCCCCATGTTTTCTGTCGTAAGGAAACACGATGCTGATAACATATGGGAATTGTATTCGGATTGGAAGAAATTCATTTTTTCAGCTGTACCCACCTCTCAAGTTTTTCCAGACTAAACTTACTGAGGCTAACTGCTAGCATTTAACTTGTAGCATCTCTGGAGCTGTGGTTGTTGGACTTGCTTATCAGCTAACATATGGGTCAGATTAGTTTATTTTACAACTAATTTCACGTTGCTGTGTGATTCACCAGCTTTTCATTTACCATTGATGCATACTCTCAATGTTTTAACTTTTTTCTCTTCTTTTTGAGTTACTGGCAGTGAGATGTTGTCCATACCACGTACTGGGTGGGACAGGGGGCTCAGCAATGTGCACCAGGCCCAGCGGATCTGCCAAACACCCTCACTTCCATTGACAAGACCAGCCTGACCACTGCTGAATTGAAAGCATTTGGAATTTTCTGTGGCCTCTTCCTTGTCAAAATCCCAGTGTATGTGGTTATGTGATGCCATCAGAATGACTCACTGCCATAATTGCATATGTTCTAAGGGGTTATTCCCATTGTGTTATTAAAAACTAGTGATGTTTGATTTTTGGCAGGGACTGTCTTCCTTGTATGATCTACAGATTTTGTCAATTAAATGAAAGAAAATGAGATTTCCAAGACTTCAGTACAAGACTGGACTTGTACTCAGAGCACCTTTTCAGTGTGCTATTGAGCTACTTTGCTTCATTTAGTCAGTTAAAAGCAACATCAGCCATCTTACTCTCCTTGTTGCAGCGACTCCCTGCAGAGAACAAGGACAGAAGTGAGCTTCATAGCCAGCCTTTAAATGATCCAAAGAGCTGCTAGAAGGTACCTCAGGTTATTTATCACACAATCATTTTCTCGACTCGGCGTCTCACAAGTTCATTCTCAAGGATGTAACTTAGAGTGGGAGGCAGTGCTCCTTGGCAAAGGGCTCCAGCTCTGATAACTCCCTAACTGAAAAAAAAACCCAACCCAAGAGCGATCCCAGATATCGTTGCCTTGGATTTTGAGTTCCTAAAATAGCAAATACAAGCAATAGGGGAAAGCTAGAAGGAGGAGATAGGAGAAAAGTGAAAAGAAGCAAAAAGGTGAAAAGGGACTTTGAGAAGCCAAGCTGCTCCGTGTCCCCAGAACTCATCCCTCATAACAAAAGTTGTGCTCAATCCCATGCAGTTCTCATAGACTTGCAGAGCCTTCTGCGCTGCTCTCTGCACTCAGGCTGGAGCTGCAGATCTCTCTCACAGGAATCGTTTACTAACCATCAGAAATTGAAAGCATTTGCATGTAAAGATCTTACTTTTGTGATTTGATTTTGATAGTCTGGAAAAAAATGACTTCCTTTCTGGAGAGCTGCACGCACTGTATGATGCATCTTAGCCTTGTGCGTCCCTAGATTTCACATGGCCTTCATCAGGCTACGTCAAAGGGATGGCAAATGAGGCTCTAACCAGCTGATTTTGCTTGTGCTGTAAATAGCCATGTCATCTACCTGATTGTCTCTGTTTTCACTTAGAAAGATGCTACTGCTCTTCTAGAATTCCAGAGATTCTGGCAAGCAGCTCCATCTGTGCCACGGTTTGGCATTCAGTTGGGTATGATATATTATTATCTTTATAAATGCCATTGAAGTGATTTATTGGTGGTGACTGATTATGCAGTGATGGTATTTCTGTAATTTGCCTAGAGTTTTTTTTTTTTTAATGTTATCCCTAACATCTCATCCTATGGAAACTATTGACATCATAACACGTGCGAGTAAATATGTGTAAAATATTTCTTCTAATGCTTTCAGACAGCGTTTCAGCATCCCACTACATTTCCTTTCATCAAAGCTAAGATTTCTTCTGAGTGAGAAATGGTTTTAACATAAACATGAACTAAGAAGTGTATACATTGCCTCCACCTCCACAGGAGTGGAAAAGTAGTAAATGGTTGTTTGAGGAGTAGGTGTGCATGCATGTGACTTGACTGCAGCTGATGAAAAATCCTGCTTTATACAGAGAGGATAAGACCATAATACAGCCAGCCTGTGTTTGGTGCAGTTTGTCTGCCACAGCTCCTAAACCTTGGCAAATTAGATGGAAATGAAACAATTCCAAAAGCGTGGCTGCACGCTGTTAATGCACCGCCCCTAACCTTCATTCCCTGCTGTTCAGGGAGAATTGCCCCAGAGCTCAGTCTACTGCCTAGCAACTCTCCTGCAGTTTTTCTGTAGGTCTGTCCAGTGGTTCAAGAGTATCAACGAAGATCTTTTCTATGCAAAGAAACTTCTGAAAAAGGAGCAGACTGTCTGCTGCACACCTAGCAACTATTTCTCCAGCACCACAAGTGTCAAAGTGTGGAACATGGATGCACGTGGAATCCAGAGCAACACTTCTGTGCCCTCACCCCTATGGTCATGGATGGAGGTGGGTGGGAATGTTACTTGAGGAGAGACCTTTTCACTCCTGCTTTCTAGCTAATTTCAATCACTAGGGATTTGACCCCCATTGGGGTGAATAAAGCAAACAGAGCTTGTTCAGCAAACCCATTTATTTATTAATGTGTTTAAAGAAGCATATTTTACAGTGATGCCACGGAGAGAACACCACAACAGGTATTATTTGGTGGACTGAAAGAGAGCAGTCGTGTGGCTGTGAGTTGAGATGACATCAACCTAAGGCAATCTCTGCTTTGGACTGTTGAACTCAGCGTGCAAACCACGTTGGTCAAAGGCAAAATGCTTCTAAGCTCTTCAATGAACCAGCTCTCTGAGAGTGGGAAAAAGCACTATTTTTAAGCTGATTAAAAAAAAAAGAAATTTGACTTTTTCTTTTTCATATTTTCCTTCTAAGTTTTCTAAATTTCATCTTCAACCATCCATAGTGAAAAATCCTGATTTTCCTAATACACGTTTTAAACTTTCCTTTGCCTTTCTCCCTCTTTCCTCCCATTTTGCTATGAAAAAAAAGAAAAAAAAAAAAAAAAAAGGAAGAAAAAAGGGAAAAGGCTGCAACAGAAAGAAGTTCTTCAGTTTTTCTAAAAACTCTAGAAATGTCTACAAGATATGCTGTGTTGATTTATTATATGCAGTTGAGTGTTGAAATATTTGTGCTAGTATTGCCATGAGTTACTGTAGGGAATGCAGTTAGTTAACAGAGCCTTAGTGTCTAAAACCTTACTAATGCACTCTCTCTTCTCTTTAATCCTTGTTGAGAACTGGATTGAGATACTAAAGCAGGAGGGAAGGAAGAGGAGTTCCTGAATTAGCAAGCTGAGGTTTGTG